TCTCTCTGGGGGAGAAAGGAAATGGGGCTGGGTGGGAACCCCTCAGCTGAGAAGGGAGAAATGTTTCATATTTCACTGACAACCATTCCTGTTTTCAGCTACTGATGTCCAAACCTCCATCACAGCAGCCACAGAAATGGCTTCCCAGTAACATTATTCTTGCAGCAGAGATGTGAAGATCAGTTAAGGCAAGAGACGCTGGCAGGCAATTCTCCAATCACAGCAGCCTTCACACTGACAAATAACACGGCAGAGACCATTTGGGGGAAAAATGCAATGTAAAACCCGGATTAAGCATTTGGGCATTCCAATCAGCAGGACGGGTGGGAAAAAAAAGACTTGCTCTTGGGGAGGAATAGAAGAATATAGGGTTGAAATTCATAGAGGCTAAAGCAGAAAAAACAGTGAAGCGTGACCTACGTACAGGAAGGGAATGCTGAAAGGGAAACACGCGCGCACACAAATGGCAGCTGTTCCAGAGGGGAAAGCGGAACGGCTCGTTGCAGGAGAGGCAGCCAACTGAGATGCGCTCAGCCAGCTGTTGGCGCGTTCCTTCAGTCGGCCTCTGAAGACACAGTGATGCGTTCCTGCACATCATGCCTGATTCTCCGCAGGTTTGGGGGGGGGCTGGAGGGAAGCCCGCGCTGACGGACCTCTGGGAGAGTCCCGACACATTTATTGACTGCTTCCCCTTGTTAACAGATCCTGATTAGATTCTGCTAAGCGGAAGAGGCCAGTCCGGTTTAGCAAGCCCCCCCCCCCGCATTTCAACACGGTGCTTGTGCGGTCGGTCTTCCTAAAGCGTTTCCACGCTGCTGTTCCAGGTCTAATTCTAGCTCTTGGCAATGAAGTATCGAACCCAATTCAGCTACAGCTTTGTGCCCCCTTCATCTTTACAATGCCTCTAATGTAATCTCATTCCTGTGTGACACTTAGAGCCCCAGGAAAAAGGGAGGGAGGGGGGCCTGGCGGTCTGAGCTGCAAAGGAAAGGTGGAATTTTCATCTAACTGCTAAAAACAAAGTAAGAGCAGAACCTGAACTTGTGGATACCCTTCTTGGTTACCTGCTTTGCCCACCCCCATTCTGATCCTCAATAAAGTCACCCAGCTGGTGACTTCTCCAGGGTACCAAGGGAGTTTTCTCAAGCACGAGTGTAACATTTCTGCTGGGCCAAGGCACGAGTGCCAATTAGGCAGGGAAGGGCAGTGCTGTGGGACGCCCCCACCCTCCTTAGGAACAGGCTGCAGTCCAGCTGCAGGGGCTTCCCAGGAGACCCACAGACCTCCGAGCTGAACCCTGGATAGTCCAGCCAGGCACGCACTGGACCCTCAGCCTCGAGCTTCTGGTTCTGCTGAGCGACCCCTGTGACCTTCCATTCCACTCCACTCCAAAATGCCCCGAGCAGGATGGACATCAAGCTCTGGAGACGGAGAAGCTTCAGGGTAGGCAATGCCGTTTTGCCCAGCTGAGGATGCTGGACTCGCTGGTGACCCTCAAGTATTTCTGGCTCCTGAATAAGATATCCATGCCACAGGAAGGCAGGGTGGGGAGAAGCAGCTCAGTCGGCCTCTGACACGGAAACCTCCTTTGGCAGTTGCACATCTGGACTGAAAGGGATTCTTCTTGGCTTCCTCGCCCTCTTCACACACCTTATCCCGAGCTCTCTTTCCCATTTCCACGACATTTTCCCCATCTCTGCAGACCAAAGAGCACAGCTTCTCGCCTCTCACCTGGAGGCCAAGTCAGCCCTGCTGGGAAGATCCTGGGCCAGCGGCAGGCAGGCAGAGTTCCCATGCCCCCAGGAAGGTGAGGAGGGGTGTCAACTTCTCTTCTCCAAGCAAGGCAAACCAACGCAGGGAAGATGAGGAGTACTTCAAAACTGCAGCTGCACGGTTGCTAGTCCCATCGCCACCCCAAATCCCCGTGGCGGGAATCCAGCAATTGGCCACTGCAACCGCTTTGCCGCTGACCTGACGACAGATGAGCTCATCCCACCCTGCTGCCCAGAGCAGGCCCCGATAAGCTAAAGTCAAGAGCTGAGGTCAGGGTGAGATAAAAAAAAAAAAGGAAGGCACCAAAGGGAAATGCAAATCGGAGACGTGCAGAGCGGAAGGAGCCAGCCAATTTATAGCACTGGGGCAAAGCTTCCCGAAGGGCACGGAACAGCATCACCTTCGGCAGGTGAGCCACAAACCTGCTCAAAGCCCAAAGGCGTTCTTCAGCGCCGTGGGGGTATTGGAGCAGCCACACGAGAGCAGAGTGTCTGCTTAGCCCACGAGCTGGACGCCTCTGAAACTCACCAGGGGATGTTTTCATTCACACAAATCAGCTAATTAAACTCTGAACAAGTGACCGCCTGTGCATCACATCTGACTAAGTAACAAATGGACGTGGATTTTCTTATCATTTTTTCCCATCTGCCATGGGCACAGAGATATTCTGCACCCTTTCTGGCAGCAAATGCTCAGCAGATTGGACAGCTGCAAACATTCATGTATGCTGAACAGAACAACACCAAACAGGCAGGGGTGCCTGGACCCCAAATATCCATAGGAACCTTGGAAGCCCCCGGGATGTTTCTTCCCAGGGTACATCTACAAAGGAGTGGAGCTTCCCTTTGGAATGCCCTCCCACGGGAAAAATGCCTGGCACCAATGCTGCCCTGGGTTCAAACCTTTTTAACCACAGGGGGATTTTAAATTTCTTTTTTTGAGTTTTAAAAGCCTTTTTTGCACATCTATACATGCTAAAAATAAACTTTCAAGAAGAGTTGTAGCAAGCTTTTATGCTGAGATCCTACCAGGACCTGAAAGCCCTGGCTCTGACAAAAAGCCGAGGAAGAGGAGGGCGGTCAGCAGACTGGGCTAGAAAGCACCGATTACAATCAACCATTTGTACTGCACTTCCAACACACACAAACCTCTCTGCCACCGGTGTTGTTCCTTCTCGTGATACTGCTGTGAGAAGGGCACCCTCCCCGTCGTTCATTTGGAGAATCACGGACTGTGCTAAGTCTTTGCTGCGTTTCAGGGAGAAGATGCCATTCACAGGGTGCACTGCTTTTAATGTGCACGGCTTGGACAGAGCTACAGACGCCGGGGGTGGTGGAGCCAAAAAGGCTGAGCAAATTCAATCCGTCCACCTCAACTGCTCACGCCTCCTGACCTTATTTATTTGTAAATCAAATTTATATGGTGCCCATCTCATGATATAAGGGACTCTAGGCGGCTCACAAATAAGAACCATAAAAACAGTTAAAGAACTACAAAACCAAGTTAAAAGTTGGAGAGAGCATCCTCACGTCACCAGCCGCCCCCTGTGCTGGGAGCCCCCACTGGATCCCCAAGCTGGTTGGCAGAGCACAAGCCCAGCAGGAACGGGAGGAGGGCAGACCCTGGCTCACCCCCCAAGAAGGGCATTCTCTTGGGGACAGTTCCCCCTTCTGCTGTGACCTCCCACCTGCGCTGCTCTATTCAGAACGACGCCCCTCGTCCCCATCCTGCAGCTTTTGCTCCTTCACTTCACCGGATAGAACTGAATGATTCCTGACCGAACCCTGTACTTCAAGTTCCCTCCCTTTAGCCTTCCTTCTTCCTGGACAATAAGATGCTTTAGTCATCGCAAGAGACTGGCCGCCCCCTGCTCAAAGAGCAAGCCTCATTTCAGCCAAAGAAGCCTGGCTCTCCGCAACAACACGCCATCTTGAACATCTGCAGCAGGAAAACTAGTCCACATGTTAGGCATCCAGCAACCCCAAGCCAGAACAGCGTCTGCCTGCTGGGCTCGATCATCACAAGAGCTCCTGCTGAGAGCCCCCCTTTCAGAGGGGCAGGCGGGGTGGACGTGGCAGCAGGTCTTCTCACCTGCAGCACCCACTTTATGGAGGTCCCAGGTGCAGCCCCACCCCCAGGCTTTTCATAAGCAAACCAAAACCTTCTTACTCCATTGCACCTCTGGCCGAGATGAAGGGGGGGGGCACGATGGGGATTTGTTTTCTTTTTCATGGCTTTCATAGGAATGCTACTATATTTGTTGCTTTGTTTTAATTGCATTGTTATTGTTTTATTGTTCTCTATCCAGGGGAGGCAAAGAAATGGTGTAAAAATAAGTGAAAGTAAAATAATATATTAGCATCATGACCCATTCATATTTGCAATAGTGGTGATGCTGAGAAAAGGAGCAGGAACTCTTGTGACCACCTGCTGGCTTCCTCATTGACTTTGGTTGCGGAAGCTAGCAGGAAAGGTTGCAAATGGTGATCATGTGACCGCAGGATGCTGCAACCGTTGTAACTGCAAGCTGGTTGTCAAGTACCTGAATCGCGATCATATGACCATGGGGATGCTACAACAGCCCCAACCTCGAGGACTGGTTGTAAGTCCCCCTCATTCAGTGCCGTCATAACTTTGAACCATCACTGAACAAGTGGTCACAACCTGAGGACTATCTGTACAAGCTTACATTGCTCCTTCTCTGGGAATCACCACTCTTGAGAATAGTTTTCAAAGAATGGAAGACTGGATGAAAGATGATGGGATTTTCACCATCAAAGGATGTTTTCAACTAGCCTTATTCAACCTGAGGTCCTCCAGAAATATTGGTTCTGCCCAACCCCATGAAGGCTGTTGGGAAAACCTGCTTTAAATCTTAGTCTCAAGTGGCTTGTGTTCCTTGGAAGAGTGGGAACACGCTCTGACCCATCATTTGGCTTCTGGGGACACTCAGATTTCCATATAAAGCACAAATGTTAGATTCACGGCCACCAGCAGGGACTTCAACCCAGCTCCCTCTCAGTTACTTTGGTCTCCTTCAAATCCATCCAACTGTTTTAAGACAACGCTGCACATTCTGGAGTAAATCTGCAAGCAGTAAATAGGTGCGATCAGAGGACCTGCTTTGCTTCCTTCCGTTCTTGTCAGAGTCCACCACGTCAAGCACAGACCCAATCTCACCCTGCTGAAACCCACTTCAACGTTCAAGGGAGACAGGCAGCTCTTACCTGGTTGAGGGGGGTGAGGCGGGGGCATCTGGTGATGCATCATGGGATACGGGGGAGGTTGCTGGTGAGATGTCAAGCCTGGGTGATTGGCTGTCCCAAGAGGGTTCATACCCGGGCCACTGGGGTGCTGGTGCGACTGCTGTGCATTCTGGCTCTGTTGCTGCTGCTGCTGCTGTTCCAGCTGCTGGCGGGCTCGTAATTCGGCATACTTTAGCTGCTCCATGTGGAAGTTCTGACGCTCTGTCAGCAGCTGTTGCCTTTGCTGCTCCAGCTAGCCAGAGGAAAAGAGGAGCAGGGAAAGGAGAATCGCACTATAATCTATATCAGCGGTTAAAACTGAACCATAAAACCCCAGCGTGCTTTCCTTCCTCATACGTATCTCCTGGCATCACTTGACATTCACTTAAATAAATTCAGGCTGGTGTCGGTATCTGGTATCAATATCCAGGGCTGAGAGATGAAAGAGGAAGATCCAACATTATTCCCTTTGGAAAATTCCAACCCTGGATGCGCTTCAGGGGATGGATTTCCTCAACACGCTAGGCCAGGCTAAACAGGGTTGGGTAGTCTGTGGGGCCCCAGCCACGGGCTTCACATGTTATGGGAACCAGGTCATGCTAAGCCACCATAGGGTTTCCTTCTCTGAGAATAACACTGCGATTTGAGGTGAACCCTGTCAAAGGTTGTAAGAGACTCAGCATTTGGAATCAGGGGAAGTTACTTTGAAGCAGCTAAGTTTCCTGTTGTACTAAAAATGCTATGCCAAAGTAAGGATATCCAAGTCTGGCCACAAAACAGATGCCTTTTACATCACTGCAATAAAATAACTCTGAATGGCTTGCCCAATTCCTGGTTTTAAGGATGATGGTGATGAACGTTCAGCTTCTAAAAAATATAATAAATGTGTCCTGAGCAAATGAGCTGGAGTTAGGAACCCAAAGAAGAGAACTGAAGTGGAAAGACAACGATCCCCTGGGGTCCTGCCAATTTTCTCTCTGAATCTTAAT